GGAGAGACATATTGCACTTTTTTTCCAGTGAATATTCTTCCCAAGGGACCATTCTTCTTTTATGAGAGTCTTCAAATTTTACCAAATTATTGGTCCAGACATCCTTGTTCTTCTGAATGCTACTATTGCTAGGCTTCTACAACGCCACATATTGCTTCTGTAATAAATATAAAATTAGATGAGCAGCTATATATAGTTTAAAATGTTCTAGAATTTTCCAGAATGTTATAAGTTGTTCTAGAATGTTCCAAAATATTTTGAATTGTTCTAGAATGTCCTAAATTATTTCAGAATGTTTTAAATTTTTCTAGAATGTTCTAAAGTCTTCTAAAATATTCTATTATTTCCCAAAATGTTCTAAAGTTCTAAACACTTCTAATCTATACAAGTTTTAAATGATTTGCAGGAAAGCCTCACATATTAGTAGTAGCAGTAACAAGATTAAATAAATGACGAAATGTAATTTGAATTGCGGTGTGACCTTTTTTTTACAAACGAGAGGAATTGAACATGTTTTCAATGTTTTCTAATAAAAGTTTATCGATTTATGACACAGGAAATTAATTTTTTTTTAAAAAGTCAATAACCCTAATATGTATGTATGTATGTATGTATGTATGTATGTATGTATGTATGTATGTATGTATGTATGTATGTATGTATGTATGTATGTATGTGTGTATGTATGTATGTATGTATGTATATAAATAATTAAAAGAAACATACAGTGCATGATATTTTATATTTAATTTGTGTTTGTATGTTTAGGAATGCATTAGAGCGCTTGGAAGAAAAGGGGCACATCTTCCTTTTCGAGCAAGTAAATTAACTCAGGTACACTATTAAAGCATATAAAACGGTATATAAAAAAACAGTCATAAAGCACTATCACCCACAAACATCATCCTCCTCATTATTATCATCATCTTGCAGAATAAGAGCAAGTTGCTTAAGAACAGTACGAATATTTTTACTCATTATTTTAATACAAAACTAATCAAGTGAAACTATTATGTTACAATTTTAAAAACATTAATAAAAATAGAGTTTTTACAAACAAATAAATTTCTTAAACTTACTATTGTCATAAATTGTAATTATTATAACTACTATAATTGCTTATAATAAATAAAAAAGCAGTTTACCTAGCTTCTTTTTTCTTTTTTTTTCTTGGGAAGGAGGGGGGACTTTTTTTATCACTTTCATTTTAATGAAAAAACTGAATAATATCCATTTTAATATATTTTTTAAAATAAGAAACTTGTAGATAAATTTGTTGTGAGTGTAATGAACAGTTTATATATATTTCTTAAATATTTTATTGTTTTAGTATTTTTAATATTTAATATTTTATTGTTTTAGTAAGTTTCCAAATAACAATAAAAATTTTTTATAAAGTAAATTTTAAATTGTTAGAACTAGTTTTTAGTTTTGTCAAAAGTTTTTTGCTCATATTTGAATTTTAAAATATTTGTAATTTTTTATCGTTAGGTTCTTCGCACTTAAATATTTGTAATTTTTTATTGTTAGGTTCTTCGTGATTCATTTATTGGTGAAAATGCTAAAACATGCATGGTTAGTATTTTTACTTATTTTTGTTTTTGATATATATATATATATATATATATATATATATATATATATATATATATATATATATATATATATATATATATATATATATATATATATATATATATATATATATATATATATATATATATATATATATATATATATATATATATATATATATATATATATATATATATATATATATATAGCATGCTGGTCTTCTCCATAAGCTTTCTTCTTACGGTTTATCTGGAAACATCTTTAAGATTATTGAATCCTTCCTTTCCAATCATAGTATAAAAGTTGTCCTTGATGGACAGCACTCTTCTTTTATTCTGTAACCTCAGGGGTTCCTCAAGGTTCAATCCTTGTCCCTATACTCTTTCTCATTTATATTAACGATCTTCCAGATAATCTCACATCTAAGGTGGCATTGTTGGCTGATGATACTACCATTTATTCTTGCCATGATAAGAAGCCAACTCTCTCTGATTGCTTGGAGGGGGCATTTGAGCTTGAAAAGGATCTCACTTCTGCTACAGCATGGGGCTCACAGTGGCTGGTGAACTTTAATTCAGATAAAACTCAATTTTTTTCAGCCAATCGTTATTGCAATAATTTAGACCTTCCTATCTTTATGTATAGTAATGTACTCGATGAGTCATCTATCCTTCATCTTCTTAAATTAATTCTTACTTCTGATCTTTCTTGGAAACCATATATCAAATCCGTTGCAAAACTAGCATCTGCTAAGGTTGCATCTCTTTATCGAGCTTGACACTTTCTTACTCTGGATTCTATTCTCTATCTCTATAATTTTCAAATTCATTCTCGTGTTACTTGTCATTCAATTAAGTCTCATCTTTTTTTCTGTGACTGTTCCTAAGTTCTCCAAAAACTCTTATTCGTCTAGTTTTTTTCCTTGAACATCAGTTCTTTTATTCTGGAAACAAAGATGTTTAAAATTTTTTTTAATTTACTCTAGAGGTATTTGCTTTATTCTGATTTTTAAATTTAATAGTATCTATGAGTAGCAGTATGGCTGATTCTGTTGTAAACAAATATATAATTAGCCAAGAATACTATATTTACATAACATACACTTAGGTGCATGTTTTTCAATCAGAGTTGTTGAGTACTCTAAATGATGCTTAAATAAACATTTTTTGGTCCTCAAACTCATAGAATCTAAGCAAGTTAGCTTTCTCAAATGCAGATCTTTCCTGTAGAATAAAGAACGTTGAATAAAAACATAAAATATGTATGCGCTTTAACCTTACTTAAATATTAACCAAACTTTGCAAGAATTTTAAGGTTTTATGTATCAACATACACATATGTATATGTAAAATTTATGTTACTTGTGATATCTCTCCAAAGAAACTAGAAATCTAGATCTAGTGATTCAAAACAATCAATACTTTATTTGTCTAGAAAAATTTTTTCCAGCAATCTATCAATTCTTTATCAATTTTTTATCAATATTTTCTAGGAATGTTTTGATCGATTCTTTACTCGTCTAGAAAATTTTTTTCTAGCAATATTGATTAATGTACCTAAATTTAAAAAGAGTTAGCATTTCATTGTATATTATGTTTATAATGAGAGCAGTATGGAAATTTTGTAAAATTTTAAATCTATAAAATAAACTATTCAGCTGGAGATCATGTCAACTGACAAATGACTCTTTTAAAGACCCTTGTCATTTTCAAGCTATATAAGGATGCATTATGAAGTTTTGTGTGGAATGGAAAAAATTAAAAATCAGCGTTAACGATGAATAACTAACGTCTTCTGATTGTCTTCTGATTAGTCAGGTTTTGTTAGCAGCATGCATAGATTAAGTCTATGCATCAATGTAGTTCAAAATCACAAGCAAACAATATTCATTTATTCACTGAAGCATTGGCTTTTTTGTTTTGTCAGTGTTTTAACATATCTGCAAGAAATAAATACATTGGAATTAAATTTTGGTTGTTCAACTGCATTTTGTTTTACAGTTTAAAAAGTTTATATTTTCTACTATTAAGTTTTGCTTCTTTTGAGGTCTTGAAAAAACTTTTTTTCACTTATATAAGGATCCTATCTCAGTTAGGTTAACATTGCTGAATGCCGACCCTAATTTTTAGGGTTATCATTTATAACAGTTAAATTTTTCCCTCTAGTTTAAATTTTTGAAATGGGTCTCCACAATTGCTTTGTTGGCAATTTCAAGCTTGACTCATCTTGTTTTATAATCAGTAAACTTCTTTCTTGTGGTACTTTAATTAAATGATGTTGAATCTATTCAATTTTGGAAATATTTTTCATAAACTCTATATAGCTCATTTAAGAGTTTGCTATCTGATGAAACACTAAACATTGTGTTATCTTTAGTGGCAGCAATACATTGTGCTTCAGGTCATTAAAAATTAGAACACCAAAACCATTTTATTTGAATAGGTAATTTCAAATAAGATTTAGTTAAATTGTTTTTTGATTTGTAATTATCAATTATGCAATGTGAAACTGATTTTGATTTGTATCAAAATTGTATTGTGTAGTATAGAAATAACTAATAATCTCCATCATATTTTCTAGTGTAGAAATAACAGATATTAATCTTGTATTTGATTCATTTTAATCTTTGCTATTATGTTGTACTGTATAACTGTGTACTAATGAGTTTTTTGGACTCATTGAATTTAGTAAAAAAAAGCTCAAACAAATTATTATTTTTTTTTTTCAAGATAGCAATGATTTCACCTGGTTTAAGCTGCACTGAACACACTCTAAATACTCTTCGTTATGCAGATAGGTGAATGAACATTTTTTAATATATTCATTTTAATGTTTTTATTAAATACTAATTTTAATATCTTATGTTCTTATATATATATATATATATATATATATATATATATATATATATATATATATATATATATATATATATATATATATATATATATATATATATATATATATATATTTAAATATTGACATCTTCAGTGGAGTTTAATTATATAGATATTTTAAAATAAAACTTCTTTTTATGGAACTATTACTATTTGTTAAAAATATATTTATTTTTACAATATTTGGAGGGAATATTGATACCCTTGTTATAAAGTATAATAAAAAACCATTATAAAAAGTAAAATCGCTATATATTACAAAGCCATTTAAATTTACAAAACAATGTTATTTGTAAGAGTTTCTTTATAAGTGACAAAAAACCACACGCCTTTCCTAGGAAGGTTTATATATATATATATATATATATATATATATATATATATATATATATATATATATATATATATATGTACAGTAATGTATATATATACAGTATGTGTCAAAATTGTCACCATGTTTGAACAAAAAAATATTTTATATATATTTTATTAGAAAAGCTGTGAAGAAAAATGAAATTTTAGTTTTATTAATTAAATTTAAGACTTAGCTAACTATAAATATTGCTTTTTGTTAAATTTAGAAGATATTGAATTTTTTTAAAAATTTTTATGTGAAAAGTTAATGGTGACAACTTTGTTGCAAATGAAAGCAATTAACATATTTGTCCAAAGTTAATTAGGTATACAACATAAGTTAATAGCCTTATGACTAAAAAAATTGATTTATCAACTTTTCACAGATTTTTAACAATTAAATTTTTTTTTTTTTTTTTTTTTTTTTTTTAACATCTTCACTTCCAACAAGGCTGCAAGCAACCACTATAAGAGTTGGAAGTTACTGGAAGAGAAAAGACTAAATCTGTAGAGCAAGATAGCGATTGACTGATGACTTAAATGATTGCAAATTATATGAATCAGGGAAGCAAGATGACGGAAGCGAATTCCAAAGAACTGATGTTCGAGGAAAAAAACTAGAAGAATAAGAGTTTTTGAAGCACTTAGGAACAGTCACAGAAAAAGGATGAGACTTAATTGAATGACGAGTAACACGAGAATGAATTTTAGTAGATGGCACAAGAGAAGCTAGCTCTTTAGAGCAGTGCCCATTATAGTATTTGTAGAAAAGAGAAAGAGAAGCAACATCACGAGGATGTGACAAAGGTTGGAGATTGGCTGCCAGAGCAGGTCCAACTATGTTTACAATGCGTTTTTTGCGTTTTAAATATCATTTAAAGTTTGATTTTGTTTACAAAACATAAAAAAAGTATTGTTATTATCATCGTGAGGAAAATAAATCTTGAACTAGAAAAAAATATTGTGGAAAGGCTTAAATCCGGACAATCTTATCGTGAAATCGCTGCTGAGTTCAGAAAGTCTCATAATCTCATATATAAAATCATATTGCGCAATAATTTAGAAGTAAATAAGCCTAAAATTGGTTAAAGGAAAATTTTTACACCAAGAGACCAAAGAACAATCGCTCGTTTAATTGCTTCTGGAGAGTCTAAAACTGCAAAGGATGTTACTAATTTAATGAATAACAGCTATAGGACTAATGCTTCAGTGTGGACTGTCAATAGAGAGCTCAAATTTTTTTTCAAAAGATTTTCATGCAAGACAACGACCCGAAGCATAAGGCTGATAAAACCATTAAATTCTTTCATGAGAAGAAATTGAAAGTCGTTGATTGGCCAGCACAAAGCCCTGATCTTAACCCACTCCAAAATTTATGGGCAATAGTTAAACAACGGGTCTACAACTTTCCTACTCCACCTAAGAATAAGGATGAACTTTGGGCTCGTGTACATGAAATTTGGTACTCAATTACACCCGAGGAATGCCGCAAATTGGTTGCTAGTGTTCCTGAAAGAATTCAGGCTGTAATTAAATCTAAGGGAGGATACACTCGATATTAATTTACTACAATATGTTATTTGCTTTCATTTGTGACAAAATTGTCACCATTAGCTCTTCACATAAAAATTAAAAAAAAAATTCAATTTCCTCTAAATTTAATAAAAAGCAGTATTTTCAGTTAGCTAAGTCTTAAATTTAATTAATAAAACTAAAATTTTACTTTTCTTTACAGATTTTTCAATAAACTATATATAAAATATTTTTTTGTTCAAACATAGTGACAATTTTGGCACATACTGTATATACATAGGCAATACCACAGCAGAAAATGAAAAAGTAGTCAAAGTTTATTCTCTTTTTCGTCAACTTTTAGCAAATGAATATTGATATAGACACATGAAAGTTTGTTTAAAGTATACCTTTAATACTAAAATTAATTAATTAAAGTCAATTTTATGCCTCCGAAAGTTACAGTTTTTCTCATTTTTGCATAGTTAAAAAGGTATCATTGTCAAATGTTATTTTAACCATGAATTTATTTGCATAATCGGAATTAATTTAGCAGGAAAATGGAGCTAACATGTTCAAATTGTTATTGGTCAAATTTAATACTTTATAAAATATCTATATTTTAATAAAATAACGAAATAATATTTTATATTAAATATATTTAAAGAAAATATATTTTAAGAAAATAACGAATATATTTTAACAAAATAACGAAAGAACTTTTGCAATTTTCATGTAACGTAAGTCAACAAAAACAAAAGAAAGTTGTGTTTTTTCAAAAAAAAAATTTTATAATATATGCAAAAAAAATTTAAATATTGCGTTTTTAAATTTAAAGTTTTGAATAACGATGCTTAGTTAAACACATTTTTATTTTAAATTTGTGTAACGTAAGTTAAAACTACATGTGTTTATCAATCTTCTGGCACTTTTTTGTTTTTGTTTACAAAACGAATTACATCATTAATTAGTTTGTGTTGGTATGACAAGGTTCTAACTGAAACTTTTTATATTAGGAGAATTTAAATTTTTTTTTTTTTTTTATATTTATGTTAATTAAAATTACTTATATTATTGCTTTTTTATTTGTTTATGTATTCTTATTTTAGTTGACATATAAATACACATAAATAAATGAAAATAAGAATTAAATAAATATTTGTATTTAGATATTAAAAAAAAAAAGATTTATTTGCTATTCTCCTAATATAAAAAAAATCTAAATCATTTTATTCAAATCTTTTTATTAAAAATTAAAATCTTTTTATTTTTGTTTTAGTAAAACAAATCGTTTGTAAATGCAATTATGGGTCATCAATAAAGCACGTCACCTTATATTTGTCAATTCTATAATTAAATAACCCTTTCCCTCCTGACACAAACGATCATATATACGCTCTCCCTTCTAAACTGTGATAGCAGTTTTTATGTCAAAAATATTTTAAAAGATTTAAATGTAAATACTTTTCAGCATTTTAAAAGTTCAACCTAATGAAAATAAGCATAAACATAAGAAGTGTAAGTAAAAACTTTGACAAACCAAAGATTTTCTTATATAAATGAATCAAATAAGTATTAACAAATTGTGACAATAGGCATATTCGTAAGAAGTGTAAGGTAAAACTTTGACAAACCAAAGATTTTCTTATATAAATGAATCAAATAAGTATTAATAAATTGTGATAATAAAATAATTTTTCAAAGTTACTCTTGGTTTTGCGTAAAAAACTGTTTCCCATTAGATAACTTTCATAAATGTTATGAAAAATCACTCAGAAAAAGTGCCTCTAGTTTTTTAAAATTGCCTTTGTTAATTATTTTTAATGAATGGGTCCAATACTTTGCAATTCTTTTGTTACATAACTCTAACTCTGAATAATAGATATAAAAAAATCCACGATAAATATCACTCAGTACTGTAAGTTAAATATATAGTATCAAAAAAATCAGTTTATTTTCCTTAGCCAATCACCTCTAATAAATTTTTATAAACTTTTTAAATTGGTTTAGAATTCTCAACATCTTGTGAAAGTTTTAACACAAACTGCTTTACTGATTCGTAGAAAGTTGAAGAAATTTTTTACCTTGTTTTTTGTGTAATGTAAGTTAAATAGGATTTTCAGTTCATTTCAAGTTTAATTTTAGGTTCGCCTTCTTTTAGCCAGACTCAAAACTTTAGCTTACTTTATTCTTTAGACTAACAGCTTTCATGCAAAAAGCTAAAAGTTTAATTTACAGTTTAAATAGGCAAATATTTGATAAAGTTGTTGCGTGTGTTATGTAAGTTAATATTAGAATTGCCCATATATATACATTACATTATGCCCATATATATTACATTACATACATACATACATGCTTTGTTCTTTTAAGAACATTAAGCACTCTATTTTGTAGAATACATTATATAAATAAATTATTTATATATATGTAGTTATATTATACATATACTTTGTATAAGTATCATATAATCATCATCATTATCATAGTGTTAGTATCCTTGATGATGGACTTTTGGATAAAAAGATTTTTTTTTTTTTATGGGAAAATAAAGTTAAAAATTTTTCATTATTTTTTGTTTTTTTTTAACTTTTTCTAAAAATTCTGTCTAGATTTAATGCTGCATTTTAAAATTTAAATTGTGCAAAATAAATAAGGACATTACAGACTTAACTCTGCAAAAAATAAATAAGGACAGTGCAGACTTAACTCTGCAAAAAATAAATAAGGACAGTGCAGACTTAACTCTGCAAAAAATAAATAAGAACAGTACAGACTTAACTCTGCAAAAAATAAATAAGGACAGTGCAGACTTAACTCTGCAAAAAATAAATAAGGACAGTGCAGACTTAACTCTGCAAAAAATAAATAAGGACAGTACAGACTTAACTCTGCAAAAAATAAATAAGAACAGTACAGACTTAACTCTGCAAAAAATAAATAAGGACAGTACAGACTTAACTCTGCAAAAAATAAATAAGAACAGTACAGACTTAACTCTGCAAAAAATAAATAAGGACAGTACAGACTTAACTCTGCAAAAAATAAATAAGGACAGTACAGACTTAACTCTGCAAAAAATAAATAAGGACAGTACAGACTTAACTCTGCAAAAAATAAATAAGGACAGTACAGACTTAACTCTGCAAAAAATAAATAAGAACAGTACAGACTTAACTCTGCAAAAAATAAATAAGAACAGTACAGACTTAACTCTGCAAAAAATAAATAAGGACAGTACAGACTTAACTCTGCAAAAAATAAATAAGAACAGTACAGACTTAACTCTGCAAAAAATAAATAAGGACAGTACAGACTTAACTCTGCAAAAAATAAATAAGGACAGTACAGACTTAACTCTGCAAAAAATAAATAAGGACAGTACAGACTTAACTCTGCAAAAAATAAATAAGAACAGTACAGACTTAACTCTGCAAAAAATAAATAAGAACAGTACAGACTTAACTCTGCAAAAAATAAATAAGAACAGTACAGACTTAACTCTGCAAAAAATAAATAAGGACAGTACAGACTTAACTCTGCAAAAAATAAATAAGGACAGTACAGACTTAACTCTGCAAAAAATAAATAAGGACAGTACAGACTTAACTCTGCAAAAAATAAATAAGAACAGTACAGACTTAACTCTGCAAAAAATAAATAAGAACAGTACAGACTTAACTCTGCAAAAAATAAATAAGAACAGTACAGACTTAACTCTGCAAAAAATAAATAAGAACAGTACAGACTTAACTCTGCAAAAAATAAATAAGAACAGTACAGACTTAACTCTGCAAAAAATAAATAAGAACAGTACAGACTTAACTCTGCAAAAAATAAATAAGAACAGTACAGACTTAACTCTGCAAAAAATAAATAAGAACAGTACAGACTTAACTCTGCAAAAAATAAATAAGGACAGTACAGACTTAACTCTGCAAAAAATAAATAAGGACAGTACAGACTTAACTCTGCAAAAAATAAATAAGGACAGTACAGACTTAACTCTGCAAAAAATAAATAAGAACAGTACAGACTTAACTCTGCAAAAAATAAATAAGGACAGTACAGACTTAACTCTGCAAAAAATAAATAAGAACAGTACAGACTTAACTCTGCAAAAAATAAATAAGAACAGTACAGACTTAACTCTGCAAAAAATAAATAAGAACAGTACAGACTTAACTCTGCAAAAAATAAATAAGAACAGTACAGACTTAACTCTGCAAAAAATAAATAAGAACAGTACAGACTTAACTCTGCAAAAATGAGAATAACCTAAATCAAGATCAGATGAGTAGTTAAGTTCAAAGAAAAACTTGAATTTTGTAAAAAAATATTGCAAAAATATAATGCAAAGGTTAATAGATTCAACATGGCACATAACATTTAGAAAGCTTAGTAACTATTATTTTTTGTTTTGATAAGATTTTATGTTTGCAAAAAATTATTTTCATATATATATATTTTTTCAATTTAGGGCAAAAGAACTGGGTCCTGATGACCAAAATTATAAAAAAAAAGTTGTTGATTTGGATTATGAAAGTGAAGAAGAATCTCAACTTTCTAATTCTCAGTCAAAGTATCGCAACTCAGAGCTTGCCATGCTATGCACTAAATCAGTATTGATTTAAAAACTTTATAAAAAAACAACCAGTTCATTCTTACTATACCCAATTAAAAGTTTTTTTTTAATCTGATATTTTTGTTGTATTTATTTCCCTTATTTTTAAAATAGGACTCGGCTGAAAATGGAGGTGATTATTTATACAACTTTCATGAAGCTGTTTCATTGCTAATGGAAACAGAAGAACAAATGATTGATGAACATCGTACCAGTATGGAGGTCAAAGATTTGATATTATATTGTTACACTTATAAAATTTAATATTGTTAAATTGGGTTTCGCCTATTTTTTAGTGCATAAAATTTAGGTGACTTTTTTTGAATTTTATTTTTAGGAAAACTATAATTTATTAGAAGAAGAAAAAAAACTTTTGGAAAGAATCGAAAATGATGTAGATTGTGACTTAGAAGGTGTTTTAATACATTTTCTTCATATTTATATCATTTATAAATGTTGCTAAATGACAAAAGTTTATTATTTTTAACAGAGATGATTAGGTTTACTATAAATTATTAAGAAGATAATTTTTTGTTAAATTTTAGATTTAGTTATGTAAAAATTGCTAAAAATTACATATTATGACCTATATAATTGGTAATTCATAAGAGATATGTTCATAATAATTTCTAATTTTTTTTATATATTAAAAGCCATTTTTATCATGTTGTCTGCTATTATTATTACAAATGGTTAAAAATAAAATTAAATCTTTAATATTTTTAAAATAAAGTCTGGCAATGAATGCAGAAAATGAAAACAGTTAAAAAAAACTAAAAGTTTAAAATAAGCCACCAAGTTTAAGAATATTAAAAATTATTTTGTACAAAAAAAGAAGATAAATAACTATAGAAAAATTTATAAAAAATAATAGGAAAATAATGATAAAGATAAAATATTAACTAAAAATATAGTTTCTTTTAAACTGCTTAAACATTGAGAGAACTAGAAAATAATAATGTTAGTACAATGCGAAATTGTAGCGCTTATTAATATAAAATACTTTCAAATGGAAGTTTTTTGCTTACATGATTTTAAACATATATTTTGTTTTTGCTTGTTAACTGTCATTAGTATGGCTATACAATTAGAAATTGTATAGCCATACTAATGACTGTCTACCCTATTAAAAATGAAAAAAGAAATATAGACTAAAATAGGCATTTCAATGCATACATTTGTTTTAAGATTATATAAATATAAATATATATAATGTAAATTATGAATAGGTATAAAGAATATAAATAAGTTACCTGTGTTTATACAGCAATTTTTATTAACAAATTTGTTTAAAGATTAACAGCTAAATTAAATAATTCACTCAAATGATCTTCCTTAATATGAAATTTTTCTGTAAAATGTTCTTGCCTAAGAATTTTTTAAGAAGTTTATTTTTACAATTTTGGATACAAATTTTTTATCGAACTCTCAAAAAATAAGTATTTATGGTTGAAATATTAAAACAGCTTTATAAAGAAATAATATTAAATATTAATTAAACTGATGAAATATGGTTTCATGAAAATTATTGTAACAGATTGTATCTAATATTGTAAAAGTTAATTTCACCAAAGTTTCTTTAACTAAAATATCTTGCAGTAAGAATATCATTTGTAAAGGTGTTCTTATCTGATTACAAAAATCTTGCCAGTTTAATTTGCTTCATTGTTTTTTCCATGTTTTTAAATATGGCTATACAATAAAAGTTCATTATTTAAAAGTTTTTATTATAAATAAGTTTAATAGATTGACTTAAACTTTTTAACAAACTACAAACAATTTTGTATAACTGTCTAAAAATAACAATTCGTTGTCCAGTTACAATTTTCATGCTTTAAGTTTTTTTAAATTTTCATGCTTAAATCTTGTTATTTGCATTTTCATTTTTAAAAAGAGTGTTTACACAAGAATGTGTTAACAAAGTCTTATTTTCAGTATAATAATTTTTGCTATATTTTCAGAATATGTACATCGGTTGGATATGATTTTAACAGAAAAAATTGAAAAGTTTTCAGCTCTTCGGGGTAATTTTTTTAATTATTTTGTTTAAATGAAATATATATATACATATATATATATATATATATATATATATATATATATATATATATATATATATATATATATATATATATATATATTAGGGGTATAAAATAAAAAATAGTTTTAAGATTTTTAAATGAGCTTGTCACCTAGTTATGAGCTTTTATATTTAAAAAAAAAATGACAATAATTTTAAGGTTTATCCTTTTAAAAAATTCACGCACCAAATGAATTATAGTTCCTAAGGGGTTTTCCGTAAATTTCACAGTGAAATTTACGGACAACCCCTTAGGAACTAAATTTGTTTTAAAAACAGAAGTAGATCTTTAAGCTCTATTACGCAGTGATTTTCATTAAACTTAGCACGCTATTTTGATTTAACTTAATGCTCTGTGAAGGAAAACTTTTTTATTTTGTTTATTTGTGAAATTTAGTGTTGTGTAATTTAGTCTAATCAAATAATAATTTTTTGTTCAGTTTTTTTTTTTACAATTACAAATTCAGTTATTACACAACCATTCAGTATGTCAAACTTAATTTATATATTTCAACCATTCAATATGTCAAAGTTCTACTTCAACCAAAGTATCTAGAGTCGTATGAAAAAAAAATTTGATTCGCTTTAAGAAAAGTAAAAGATTATGTAAGAGTTAATCTCAAGAATCATTAGGAAAAGTATGTATAATGCCAACAAATTGGCAAATATTAATTGATAAACCAGCTTGGCATCAGACTGTAAAAATGTGAAAGGATGAATAAAGAAAATTTCAGATGAATGTTTAGAACTACGGAGGCTAATTTTGAACTAATTTGAATTTTCCAACAATAGATAAAAGATCTGAATAATAGGAAAATTTAATAAATAGAAACAAATAAAAATGAAAAAACTAGGTACTTATAGTTTTGATGATTTATTAGATGAAAGAGGAGAAAGAGGATGGACTTAAGTTGCATTCTGAAGATAAAAATGTTTATTTAAAGCAGTTAGAGATATTTGGTAGAGTGGGTAAATAAAATTTATAAAAAAATAATATAAAATAAACTTATATAAATAAAATTTATAAAAAAATACTTCCTTCAAAGAAAAATAAAATTGGAAATGTTCCATCAATGCCATCAACTTCAATTCTGAATGAATACAGAGAGGAACACAAAAGTAGTAATGAGTCAATAAGTGACAGTGGCAGTGATTATGAACCTTCAATAAATATTAATAAACGAAAAGTTAAACAGAGAACAGTCAAGGTTGTTAAATTGGTTTGTCAAGCAAAGTTAAGTACACAAAAAGTTGCCTCATTGTTTCAACAACTTCAAATGGCTGGTGTCAATCTTCCTGCACCAACTCAACCAGCAATTTTTATGGCAGTCATCAGAGAAGGTAAAAAGTTATGAGATAAATTGAGAAAAGAACTGAAGGTCAAGAATTGGTGTTTGCATTTTGATAGAAAAAAGTTGAGGTTGATCATCAAGTAGTCATGATAAAGAACAATAAAAAAGAGGTTAGGCTAAAACCAATGGTGTTCAAAAATGGAAAGTCAGAGATAATTTTTGAAGAATTTTTGAATAAAATGATTTATGAGGATCTATAAAAATGATCGTGACTGACACTACAAATGTTAACAATAAGAAAACAAGTGTCAAGATAAATAGAATAATGACACAATTTGAAAGTGTTGGCTTTCAGAAACCTCTCTATGTTGGTTGTCAACACCATATATTAGCTCAATTATTAATGTTATGTCTGGATGAATTTTTTGGAGGTAGTGTTAATTCATCTGAACTCTCATATTATTTTGTTAAAGCAATACATAGTGTATATGACTATTTAACATTGAACATTGACAATAGTTGTAGACAATTAAAGGAGAATGAACTGAAATTGAGAGATGACATGCAGTTTTTGAAGCATCTGACTAATGTAGTGAAATACTTTTACAATGAAAAGATTTTTCCTTAGGTTAATTTTAAAAGTTTACCATATATTAGCCAATTTAGATAGAACTCTTGGGCAATTTATTTACTACTTGCTTACATACTAATTCCTTCAGGCAGACAACTGCTTAAGATGACAGTTGAGCTTGTTACTGGAAAATGGGCAGATACCTGGTTTTCAAAGCAAATGTTCAACCCTGAAAATGGTAAATAATTGGAGGAAGCGATTAAAGATTATCCAAAGGCTATCAATACATTCACAAAGTTTTGGTGTGATATTCTTTACCCTATAAATACACAAAAATCCAACATTTGCGTTGAACGAGCAGTAAAAGTTTTAGAAGATATCAAAAGTCTTTGCAAATCTGAAGAAACTTTGTATTTGAAATATTTATTAAATCATGATTAAAGTAAATGCAAACCTTTTTAGTTAATGTATTTTTATTAATATAGTTTTTAAACATTTTGATGTTTTGTTGATTTTATCAATATAGCTTTATTTATGTGATATATATCTATATTACTTATTTGAACATAACTTATTATTTTAAGACAAAGCGGAAAATATTTTACTTCAAATTACCATTAAAGAATTTCTAGGTGTATTTGTAATGTGATTAACAGCTTATGGCTCGGCTTTCTAGTGGGTCAATACGCGAGTTTTTTCTAAAAACATTATAGTGAAACTAAATACTCTTAATTATTTATAAAAGCTCATCAGAATATGACATGCTCATTGAGTTTGAAAAATGTTATACCCCTAATGTATATATATTTACATATATATGTAATATAATAAACTATAAATATGTAATGTATATGTATTACAATAAATATGTAAATATATATATATATTTTTTTTTTCAGTAAAAGTTTCTCAATTCAAAGAACAGTTATTTGAAGAGGAAAAAGCAAGTAAAAATGTTCGTCGGCTGCCGTTTGTGTAAAATTTATTGTAACTCATATTTATTTGTAAAAAGAAACGCTTCACTTGTAAACTAGAGCAAATTTAGATATGTTTTGTTTTCCATGATGCAGTTGCAGTCAATTGATATTATGTTATTGTGCAGTGTACCCTTTTTTCGTTTTTTGGAAATTCTGTTGTTATGGGTAATTCCAATTCCTCTTTTTGGAACTGATTGTCATACACAAATATAAAAAGCTTTTTTTTTAATTTTTTAATTTTATTTTTGGATAAAGATCCACCTCCTGTTCCATCAAAGTATTGTTTTAATTTTTTTTCTTTTTTTATAGAAATAAAAAACTGTAACATTTTAGTAGAAAATTTGAAGTATTAAAACATTCAAAAAAGTTATAGGCTTATTACCAATACTTAATTTCTTTCTGTAAAAACATATACTATATATAATATTTTTAGACATGCATAATTACATACTTACATTATTATTACATACAAAGTTGTATAATAAGTCTAACATTTTAATGTTGTCATTTGTAATCAAATGAGGTATATGGATTTTTTTTAATATTTTCAAATGTTAGCTTTAAAGGGTTTTATAAAAATCATTCATTTAAAGTGTTCAATATAATTAGATCACTGTTAGTTATTTTAAAATATATAATTGTGTTAAAGACTTTGAAAGTGAATTTTTTTTTTTTCTTTTTTTTGGACAAAGTCATGAAAAGTTGTAAATAATTGGAAATTTAAAAAAAATTTGGTTAAAAACTTTTGAAATAAATTTAACTTCAAAAAACTTTTTTAACTTTGATTTATATCTTCAAGTTTTATTTAACAAATGAGTTTAACAGTGTTAGAGCCCAGTCTAGCAGCTAAGGCACTTAAAGAATTAAATGAAAAACCAGATGGTCGTTATAAAAAAATAAATAAATTGAGAGCAAAAACAACAGAGCGACCAGACCTGAAGTTTGATACAACAGATAAAGGTCTTATTATATTTCTACGCGCTAGAAAGTTTAATGTTGATAAAGCATTCGAATTGATGGTTAGGTATTATGAAACTAAAAGAAGCAATCCAGATATATTTGAAAATTTTAATCCATCTGCTGAAAGGTTAACGTTTCAATCAGGATGGAATATTGCTTTTCCGAAACGTGATTCTAATGTAAGTATTATCATATATAGGAAGTATTATAAATAGAAGTCATTAACTTTAATTATATATGCACTTATTAACCTAGTGTTTTAATGATATCTTAAGATAATGGTTTTGATAAATGAATTTGTTATTTATATTAGCTTGATTACATTTACCTATCAATAAATAAATCTGTTTGATTACAGTTATCTTTTGATATATATATATATATATATATATATATATATATATATATATATATATATATATCAACCCTCGGAATTAGGGTCGGCATTTGGCAATGCCAACCTAACTGCTGACCTGAAAGTGTTTGAGGTGGGCAAAAAATTGCTGACCTTGTTTCTATGTTTTATGGTCAGACCTTTGTATCAAATGATTTTTGTCGACCTGATGCCTACCTTAAAAAGATTTAGGTCGGCAATTTATTGCCGACCTCATTTTTCCTAATTCCCAGGGTTGATATATATATATATATATATATATATATATATATATATATATATATATATATATATATATATATATATATATATATATATATATATATATATATATATATATATATATATATATATATATATATATATATATATATATATATATATATATATATATATGATTAAAATCTTCTATCATTAGTTACGCATTTTTAGTCATTTAATTTTTTAATAAATATGTAAATTTTATAAATAGTATTAATAGTTATTTTAATAAGTTAATCCTATTAATAATTACATTTGATTCTATAAGTAAATATTTCAGTTTAACTTGTTTTATTAATGGGTAAATTAATATAGTAAGTTTATATTTAAGTTTTTTACCTAAAAAATTTTTCATAACAAAATATTATGTTGATGTTATTTATATAAAGGGCTGTCGAATTTTCACTATATGCCCTGGTAACTGGAACCCAAGTGATCGTAGTCTCATAAATAATTTTCGAGCAAATTTGATTGCATTAGAAATTTTGATACAAGAAGAAGAAACTCAAATAAATGGGTTAGTTATCATAATTGACTTTCGTAATTTTGGATTGACTCAAGCAGCAGCTATTCAACCCACCCTTTTTAGGCGGTATGGAGGTTTTGTGTTTAACACATATCCGATACGCATTAAGGGCATACATGTCATTGAACAGCCGGCAATATTTAGTATAATATTTCCTATTATATCATACTTTATGAAAAAAAAAATAAAAGATCGTGTCAAATTACATGGTTCAGACATGGACAATCTCAGTTGTTTTTTTAGTGCTGATAGTCTTCCTATGGAGTATGGTGGTACTGGGGAACCTAATGATTTTAATGCTTGGGTTAGATATGTTATAAATGCAGAGGAGGAGTTAGAACATTTGTGGACATAATCCAATATTTTTTATTTTAATATATTTTTTATTAATATTTTGGCTTTTTACATAATATTTTTTATATCATGTTTTAATGTATTTTTATACTGTTGATTTTTTGATATTCATATTTAGGTGTTTGTGTGGGGCGTGTATATATTATTGTATATATTTTGCACAATTTATTTATTAAAATGCAGACTTGATACTTTACAGGTTTCAGTCAGAATAAAAAAATGAAAAATGAAAAATTTGAATTTTTTATTTGTTATAAATCTTCTTTATACTTAGTTTGTAACTGTCCAAACCCAAACCTTTACATCATGTATGTGATGAAGTCCCTGCTGATGGCTATTTAATTTGATATTATCAAAGACATGATTTCATATAAATTAATTTTGTTAGGACCAGCATTTAGTATATATGAACTTCTTTATAAAGAAATGCATTAAAATGTTAATAGAAAGCAAATTTATTGATTAATTTTTGGATTTCAAAATTTAGTTATACAGCAGGTATAACATGAATAAGTAGGTAGCGTGATAAATCTATTGCCTAGTAAGCGCTCAGTATAATGTTCAACCATACTATGTTTCTAGAAGTAATGCACTCAACTTGTTTCTTCATGCAGAAAAATTGCTTGTTAAAGTTTGTGTTTGAAATAATAGTGTTAAATTAAGAGACAACATTAAAAAAATTATTCAAATAGAAAAATGAGTAGTCATTTTGCCTATAATAATCCTTCAGTCTTATAGTTGAATATAGTATTATAATAATAAAATAGGTTTAAGTTAACTCTTGATGATATATGTATAGCTAGTTGGTTACTATTCAATTTTTATTCCCGTCTAGTTAATTTTTAGATATAAAATATTTTTAAAATGATTTTAACTTGGGTAAAGTGTTAAAAATGGCTGATCCATCATTATTACGCTGGTTTCATGGCAGAATAACAAGAGATATAGCAGAAAACTGCTTACAAACTACTACATCAATGGATGATGGCACCTACTTACTACGTGAAAGTGCATCTGAAATAGGAAGTTATGTACTCTCTGTCTGCAAAGATAAAAAAGTAATTTAATTTTACTAATTTTTCTTTATAAATAGTTTTTTGTTTTTTAAAACATTTTGAAGTAAAACAAGGTAAATGATAGATATGATAATATTTAGTTTAACTTAGTTTAACTTTTTTTTAAAACTTTTAGTTAAGCATTCTACTTAATAAAACAGTAGCTTTTTGCAAAATGACAGTCAAAAATAACTTTACTAAAAGTAGGTTTGCAGCTCATCACATTTATTTCAATCAATAGTTATTTTTAAAGTATTTTTTATTTCAATAAGTTAATTTTAGTTGTTTTAAAATCTGACATAGGAACCATTTGGTTCTTATATCTTATGTTTTGGTTACATTGTTAAGGTTGGGCAACACTAATAACTCAACAAAAATGTATTACTGATGTTAACATAATTATAATTGAAATACATGTATGTAAGAAAAATGTAATGTATATTAAAAAGAATATTTTCAAGAAAAATTGTTTAAAGCTATCAGGGTGCGAAGTTTTTTTTTTTTTTTTAAATGTATAGATTTTTGTTTATTTTGTTCAAAACCTTCTGTTCATATTTTTAATTATTACAAAATATGAACAGAAGTTCGTATTTTTAATTATCAAAATTTATTTAAAAGATGTTGTTATTTTAATTTTATTATTTTTGCTTCAGATATTAAAAAAAAGAGAATTTTGTATTTATATTAATTTTTGTTATTTAAAAAAACAGAGTTTTCATTTTTGGACTTTTTGGATGCTTCATTGGCATTTACCTAGTAAAATTATGTCTGAAATTGCTCTATTTTCTATTTTATTTTCCATTTTGTTTGCCTGAGTCAATCCTTTTAGGTTTTTTTTTAGTTTATTTTGCACAACATTTTTTTCTAATATTTGTTTCTGTTTGAGCACTGACATAATTTATTATTCCAAAAATCAGCTTTTAGAATTTTTTAATGTTTGTATAATTTGTTCTTGATTTTCCTGAAATTTAAAACCAACCAAAGCCTGCATTCAAAATTTTACATTCCAGCATATTGTTTGCACAATCTAAATGGAATTTCTTTAGAATCATTTAAACATTTAAAAGTGAATTTTTTATCTATTTTGTTCTGATCTGCTTTGATCAAACATTTCACTTTCAAAATACAATCCATAAGTACATTCACAACTTGGTAACAAATATTGGATATTCAAGACCATCATTTGTAATTTCTTTCCATTTGTGAAGTTTTTTTTTTTTACTTGCTATATTGTAGGTTATCCATTACGCTATTCAAAGGCAGCCTAGCGGTATGGTTGGTATAGCTGATGGACCACAATTTCCTGGACCAGTGGAGCTTGTTAATCATCATAAAGTAGGTTGTTTATTTAATTTTCTATGTAGATTTGTTTTACCATCTAGAACTATTATATTAAAATTAGTTGTTGTTATTCTTTTAATATCTTTATAAATCTTTTTATTTTATTAAAATCATTATTATTTTATTTATATTATCAGGTCAGTAGATTTTGATTAATGCTGCAGTTTTATCTATTTTCTAGCTTCAATTTGAAAATATTAAATGTCAAATTTTACTTTTTGATAACTGCCAATAAAATGTTTAAATACAAGTAAGTTATATTATAGACTTCTTTGGGTGGGTTGATGACAAAGTTAACATATCCTTGTGAACGCCCTGCTGGTGTAAAAGCTACTGCATATAAAGGTATTAGTCATGACGATTTAGATGAAGCAATAAGAACAGTATTGAGAACGGAAGGTGTTGTTGTATGTAATTTACTTTTTTTATCTTTTTTTTTTTGAAATTGTTGTTAGTTTAGGTATTTCTAAAAATAAGAAGAAATTAATTTTATAGAATGAAGAAGCAGTTCGCAAATTTAAAGTTAAAATGGAATATGTTGTTGGAAATATTTTGCATCGGCAGCAACCATGGTTTCATGGTGTTATTCCCCGTACTGAAGCTGAACGACGTTTGAAAAGTTTAAGTGAAACTGGAATGTTTTTAATTAGAGAAAGAGGATCTCCACGGGGTAGCTATGTTATAGGTTTATTTTACCAAGGAGGTGTTTATCATTATCTTTTCGAAAGTAATAATCAAGGTCAATTATCAATAAAATCTGGACGCTCTTTTGATAACCTAATGGCAGTTGTTAACTTTTATTCTCAAAAAAGTGAAGGATTGTTTTGTACATTAAAAAGAGCTTGTGAAGTTTCATGGTTTGAGTTTCAACCAAAAACTGAAATTTATAAAAACATTTTATTACATCCAGAAATTCAAGCGGAACTCAAAAAAACACTGCTTTTATATGAAGATGAACTAAAGAAGTATAGGAGAGTGTCAAGAGTAGGTAAGAATAATACATTTTTTAGTTTGTTAATTTATCATTTTTTGCTTTTATTGTTTTATACTTGTGGTTTTAATTTTTTTTTTAAGTAAAATATTTAATTATTTGAATTAATAAAAGATTTTACAATTTCTAAATTTTTAGTTCTTTTATTATATTTTATTATAATACATTTTTTTAAAGCGCAAGATTGAAAAAAATAAGAAATAGAAACCACTTTCAAAATAAATTACTAACACATTAAAAATATATATATATTTTAATCAAGTAATATAGTTGTCAAAAATCATTAAAAAAAAAGAAATTCAAATTTATTAAAATTTCATTGAAGCAATATGAATTTGAGAAAAAAGTCTTGCACATTCATGAAGAAAAACCATTGGGTGGTATTGGGCACATGCTTGGAGGGTGGTTCTGGGCAACTTAATCTGTTTACATATTAACTTTTTTATATAAATAATAATGCATTTAATATAATACACAAACCCATTTTAGTAACTCAATTAATTCCTATAAAAAGACTTAAGATTTGAAAAAAGTGTTTTTAAAGTTTTTATTTTCATTAATAAGAAGCTGTTTATATTTCTTAATTTTAATTTTCATTAATAAGAAGCTGTTTATTTTCCTTCCCATTATTTTACATATTAGAGGCAAATTTTGAAGGCAATTTTTTTAAAAATGTGCTGAGAACAGTCCAATGCTAACTAATTATATATTATATTTGTGTCACACGAGTAAAAAATATGTAAAATCATGGTTAAGCTGTGTCTTGGGCTATCCTGCAATTTTGAAACATGTTTTTTTTTCTAATATTTTTTCTTTTGGTTTGTATATTATTAAGATACACAATTTTTTTTTTGTTTCTAATTTGATAGCGTGGCAGTGTAAGCAACAAGTATAAATACATATTTGTAGACAATTATGGCAAAAAATTTCTCTTTCGGCAAGTAGTTTGTAGTTGTGGAAAGACAATAGATCTTTTGTGACATCATCAACTTTGTCATTAGAAATTTATATTCAAGAGTGCGTTCAAAAGCAACTTTTGCCACTCATTCGATTGCACGCTAGTTCTTGTTTGTTTTGGCCTGACAGCTTTGTGCCACTATGCTAAAAAAACTTTAGAGTGGTATAAATTGAGAATTGAGGTTAATTTTTTACCAAAAAAGCACAATCCACAAATTGCCCACAATTCCGGCCCATCTAAAAATATTGTAGTTTTGGCAAAAGATATTTGGATAAAAACAGGCAAGACTATTAATTCAGTACAAGAATTGCTGATGGTCAACCATGATGAATTGCTGATGGTTAACCATAAGCAAGAAAACGATAATAACAGTTGTGCAGAAATTAATGGGTGCCATCAGTGTGTCCAGGAAATGAAAACACACCACGCAGTGTTTTGAGGACCTAAAAAAAATCATTTTTCTGACTTTTTATTTTTTTAATCTTAAATAGTAAATTTATATTGTGTATATATGTAGGTCAATGCAAATAATTTTTTTGAAATTCATCAAACCATTTTGTTTTTATAGCTGTTTGAAGTTAAATAAAAAAGTGACACAAAATATTTATCTTAAAAATGTACCAATACTGTTTTTTAACAAAAACTTTGAATTTTTTTTCTATCCTGATCTGGAAATGATAATTAATTTGTGAATTATTTAAAGGAAAATAAAAATTGGAAATAAACATTTATTTTGTGTAGTTTTGTTTAAACATAAAAAAATTCTAAATTAAATGAGAATATATTTGATTGATTAAAAACAAAATGGGGGGGATAAAAGACTGCAGGAGGTCACTAATAAACTGAATTATTTTATACAATATAGACTTTCTATTTTTATGTGTAAAAATTCCTCAGTTTGGTTATTCCGCAAATTTAGTAAATTTAAACTTGAATCTAAATTGTTTGTAAGTGTTAATATTCAAGGTTTTGCAATTATAAAAAATCAACTTTTACGCATGGTTAAGGAGTACCTATTGATAACTTGTGACAAAATTTTATTGATAAAAAGGAGAATTAGAAGTAATTTTAATAACTTTGAACATCAAATTAAGTTCATTGGAAAAATCAAAGCTAATTCTGAAAACAATTAGATATAGTCTAACTTTAGAAGATGAAAAACATAAAACATCAAAAAAATTTTAAAGCAAATTAAAAAACATCTATAAAAGTATTCAAAATTATAGCAAAATAAACTGATTTTAATTTTGATTGATTTGTAAACTTAAAGAAACAAAATTGGAATAAAACTGCCTGGGATTCCACCTACAGCAGCATGATCATAATCCAGGAATTATATAGAAGAAAGAGCTCCACAGGCTAAAAGAGGATGGAAATCAAAAAGACAAAGAAAATTGAGCTGATGACATTTATTTTGAATGAATTTCTTAATTATCATGTTATTTGGGACACCCGTAGCTGATTTTTTACTTTTGACAACACACTATCATTTAATTTTCTAATCAACCTACAAAGCGTACCTTCAAAAAAATTCTGGGTGGTTTTTCAGGAGTAAATAAGTCAGAATACTTAAAAGATGTTGTCCAAAAATATAAAAAAAGATGGGGAAAAGAGGAAGGAGTAAAACTTCCAACAATATCAGTACAGGAAGCATCTGCTTTAATCTACTACTTGGATCTATCTATAAATAAAAAAAAATAAAAAATTGTTTTTATTAATGTACGTTTAAATTTTATAAAATTCACCAACAGGTATAGTACTACATGGGTTTACCATAGATAAAAACTGTAATGATGTGCTCTGTACTTGGAGAAAACTAGAAAATGGTGAAATCTCCTACAAAGATGTTGAAACACATGGGCAATGCCATGAACCTATTGTTGAATCAGATGTAAAAAATTTTCCTATTCTACAATTGTTATATCACATTGTGGTCAACAAACCTATATATGGTCTGAGCAAAATATAAGGGTAAAAACTGCACTGAAGAGGAATGCTCATTGGTTCATCTACTTCTAGTGATAGTAATACTAACAATGGACCAATGGCAGATTGTTTTTTAGTCCAAAAAAAGAGTCAGTCTGTTCTGTAATTTTTAAAACAGAAAACTAAAATAGCTTCTCTGCTTTGTTAAGTTCAATATATTTCTTAGCACTAATCAGCATGTTGTTGTTAGCAAAATGTTGATCCTGATAAAGTTAAAGAAGTTGGTTACAAATTGATGATATTCCATAAACAGATATTTCCATTGGCTATGCTTAGCCCCAGCTTGCAAAAAATGTGCGCACATGCCTTGGAACTGTTTGTGATTACAGGTGGATCATCTATTGCCAAGTACTCTGAGCAGTTAGGCAAAAGTTGTAATAAATACATTAGGGTTTATAAGTCAGGAACAAGTTGTAAGGCAAGGCATATGTCGTTGCAAATAAATACACTTGACATTTACTTCAGACTAATGATATGAACACATCCAATAATTGCCAGTAAAAAAGACTTTTGTAATGAAGAACATGTGGAAAACTTGGACATACCACAGGGTGTAAAGTAGAGGTGAACAATGTTTTTAGTGAGGAAAAATGATAATTCAAGAATTTTTTCTGTGACGATATATAATCAATGAGACTTATATCTGTGTATATTTGTGTTTAATATTAAATTATTATGAGTTCCAAAAAATATATTTCATTTTTGATAGGATATATCCTTTTCCAAAAATTATGTTAGTCAGCAATTACCCATATATTTGTTATACTGGATCCCAGAATCATGTAAATTGACCCTAATTCAACCTAGCCAGCTATTAGCTTGCTGGTCACAGACATTGCGCACACTATTTTTTATATAGGGCAAGGGGCAGTGGCAGACAAATTTTTAAAAGATAATTTAATTTTTTAATTTATATTTTATCGATTATTTTAAAAATGTTAAAATAGTAAGGGCATGACTCTGGGTGCCCCTCCCTCTCCCCATTGTTGCCCCATTCCATGAGTCACAGTGCACATGTAAAATTTACCTCAGAATCAGATTCATTGGCATAATATATTAAAAGTAATATACTAAAATTTTCACAAGATTTTATTAATAATTAATGGATTTATGAATTTTCCAAAAAACCACATTCTAGGCACACAGTACACCAGTAATATACTATTATTTTTTTGGGATAAAAAAAATATTTGAAACTGAAAGTATTTTTATACTCTTTGATTTCTTAACTTAAAATTTAAAGAAACTTGTAAGAAACAGTTATTTTGAAAATTTTTGAAAAGATTTTCCTTAATCATTTTTTTCCATCTCATTCTATAGATAACTTAGTTCTAATTAAGTTTTGTTAGCATGATAAGTTCTATATTTTAACATTTAATATAAATTTTTGAATATAATATAATATTTTTAGTACATAATATAAATATATTATATAATTTTTAGTATATAAGTTGTTATTTTTGTTATTAATATTAGTTGTGGTTATTATTGTTGTTATCATGATTATTTTTATTGTGATTATATCTTATTATGTTGTTTTTTTTACTATCATTATTATTGTTGTTAGTTATTATTGTTATAGTTTATAGTTATATAGTTTTTGTTCTTATTTTTTAAGAAAGACCACCATTACCAAATAGACCAGTTTCAAGGGTATCGAACCAAATAGGTATTGATTTTTTATTATTTACATTCATTATGTGTTGACATAGCAACATCAAATTTTATAAAAAACAATTTTAATCAGCTAACTCTTTATTTAAAGTTACTCTCATTTTTTTAAAATTTTTTTTTAACAATAATTTTTTAAAGCAGTTCTTTAACTTTTTCTTTATCGTCTCTGAATCTTCTGCCTTTAGCTATTTTTCTGCTGAGTCATCATATTTAGAAAGTATACCAAAGAAAGTATCTAATCGTTTTTTTTTATAAGATTACAAGATGCATATTTAATTTAAAGAAATGACAATAAAATAACTTAATCAAAAAAAAATAAACTTCTTAAGGTGAAATCTCTTTAGGATTATATAAAATAATAAAGATTTAAAACTTATGGAGCAATGAACTGTTATAAAACAGAATTTACTCCTTATATGCTTTAATCATGCGTCCATAAAAATAATTTAAAAAGCATGAAAGACTAGGTGAAACTATAGACTAATAATTGTTTTACCAAATGTTTCAAAAATATATAAGAGATTAATAATCCAAAACATTTACAAATATTCTATATATAATAGACTAATTGAAAAATGGAAAATCTTTTTGATTAAAAAAAAAAAATAGAATTAATGTTAGTTTTTCTAATGGGTTTATCTGCATTTTATATGCATTTAGTTTTGCATTTAAACATGAAATAACATTTACACATATTGGTAGGGTTGTATGGAACTAACTGATCACTTAGATTGTTATTTTAATTTTGGAAAGTTTTGTCTTTAGCAATTTACGAAAATCTCCTATTTTATCTCAAAAATTATGTTTAAAAATTATGACTTTTGAAAAATCTTTATTAACAAAGGTAAGTCTAACATTCCATCTCTAATACATGGGTCTGATCTTCTTACCTCTTATTTCTGAGTCTTGTTTTCTTGCCTGATGGAAAATTTCATTTGTGGTTCCAGTTTTTAAAAGCTCTAGAAAACAATTTGAGTCCTCTTACTATTTTCAGTTTTAAGGTCTTATTAGTAAAATATCTTTAAGTTTTAAATTAACAAGTTTCTAATATCTCAAGTCTACTAACTTATTTACTTGGTCCTTACATATGGTGTATCTGTGAAAGTTTTTTAGATTACTAAGTCAAGTTTTTCTAACTACAGTATTAAGGTTGTTCTTAGAGGCCAACTCTCTTATTCATTTCTAGTAATTTCTAGGGTACTGCAAAATTCTATTCATGGTTCTGGTTTGTTTCTCACCTATAATAAAGATATTTCTGACAATCTTACATTTGTAGTGGTTCTATTTGCTGATCACACAACTATATACTTCTGTCTTGACAAAAGGTTGTTACTTTTTGACTGCTTAGTTCTGGTAGTCGATCTTGAATCTGATTTCTCTCCCTAGGACTTGGAAAACTCTTTTAAGTAAGTTCATGCTACTGTAATTTTGAATTTTTAATATTTATAAATATATTAACGCAAGTAAACCATTCTTCTATAAATTCTAATACCAAGGATTGACTTGGCAAAGAGTTTTTTAACTATCATTTCCCTAAAATATTCAACTGTTTAAATGAATTTAATATTAAATAACATCAAAAATAGTTTTACATATTGAAAATAATATTAAAGCCTTGTTTTGAATTAATAATATTTTTGTATCAATAATATTTTTGAAACAATGATAATTTTATTAAAAACTAAAGTTATACAATACTTATTTTTATTGGTGATTAACTACATTACACATTCAGAATTAAAGCTAGAGACTTTTTTAACAAGAACTATTATGACATTAAAATTATAAAGTTTTTTGTTATTATTTTAATAAAAAATTTATTTTGGCAAGTTTAAAGGGATCCCAAACTCCCAACACATGTTGTGTTCATATTAAAGATAATGTTAAAAAAAAAGGTTTGAATCAAGTTTTTTTGATTAAAAATAAATAATGAATGCATACCGAGAAAAACTAACGTTGTTGTTTTAGCTGAAGCTAGCCTTCTCCATTTTTTTCAATAACTCAGAGTCTTTGAATTATACGTCGCAATCTACAGACTTTGGTGATTCCTTTGAAGCGCGTTTAATTCATAAAAGTTTTAGTATTTGACGTCACGTTAGACTTTTAACAAATAAAACTCTGGAAATATTTTTATTTTTATTCGAACTTTTTTTGATTATTTGTTTAGTTTTTTTTTCTTTCTATTTTTAACATATAAAAAGATATTAAAAACCTCAAATATTTTATGCTGGTTTGTTGCTATAAATTGTTATTGCGCCATATATTTAATGTTTATAAATTATGAATATTTATTATCTCAATTAAGACTGTGATAAAAAATTGTTTTACTTTAATTACCCTTATAAAATTAGTAACAGCATTTTTATTTGGTTAGACAATATTTTGTCTCGATTTGCTTTGCATGAAGTTTGGGAAGTCAAACAAAAAAAATTAGTTTCAATAATCACTTTGAAATATATTTAAAACAAATTGTTTTAATGACGAGGTTTTGAAAGATTTTTATAACAAGTGTAGGTAAAAAATAAATAACTAAAGAAAAAGTTTAACATTAAACATCATTTCTTTATTGTATTGCAACTGTAAATATTGAAATACTAATTTCAACTAAATTTACTTATTATTTAGAACGACTAAGCAATAAAAATAAAAAGCCCCTAAAATTATGCGATATTGTGTTGCTTATTTGATAATTGTTGTTGGTAATGTTGTTTATGTTGATTATTTTCATTAATATCAAAATAGTCCCAGATTAATCTGATAGTTGCTTTGTTCATTGTTGATTTATTTCTTATTTAATTTTATCTCTAAGTATAAATTTATGTTAAGAAAGAAAAGTTTTTATTTCATCGCTCGCTCTTTTTATAAAAGAGTAGAACAAAAGAGAAAGAAAAATTTTACGTAATTAAACTTCGAATGAATAAAGGATTTGTATAGATTTTTTTTTTGCGTCACTCGTTCTCTTTTTAGATGAGAGAAATAAAATTTAATAGTAACTTTTCTTTGAATAAATGAAAATTGGAAGAGAAAATTGCTTGAAAATTTGTATTTGTTAGTTGTGTTTTAAAACAATTTTAATTTTTCATGTTAAGAGACAAATGCCAAATACGACACAAATTGAGAAATACCAAATATAATATGTTTTTTAATGCGTGTTATGAGATTTTGACAATTTAAATGACCATTTATCTTGAATTATTGCCATTAATTAATGTGTTAATTATTGCGTTATATAATAATAATTTGTCTGTACTTTTGTTAAATATTAGTTGTATAAAATGGCCGAAAATATACAAACTTCATGTTTTTTATTTGATGGTTATAAAATATTGAACAGTAAACTTATAATCAAAATTTATAATGCAGACTTGTGTTGCTATTAATTGTACTTTTAATGCAAAACCAGGCTCTCACATATCCTTTCACGAATTTTAATATCTGATACTACTGTCAACTGTATTGTTTAGTGTATTCTTGTGCTTTTTTTTTATAACCTTAACAGGTTCTAATTGGTATGGCATTTTAAATGTATTATTATCAAAAATAAAATGATATTTCATTTTTATCCATATCCAATTCAGCAAATTTAGCAATTTAAAATAAATCAGCGTAATCAAAAAAATTTTATAATTAAAAAAAGTTAACAATTCATCAAATATCTCCAATTAATACTGTCAGTTTATGAAAGTAATTGTTAATAAATTTGTAAATACTTTTTTTCGACAGGAAAACAAAAAAAATCATTGCGTAAAAATAACCAGAGAAGTTAGAAAATAGTTCCCATTGTTTAAATAAAAATAAGTAAGATTCAGAATATATAATACTGCGCTCTTTTGCACAAAAACGAGAGACCGTATACATAACGTTCTATATAATGTAAAACACTCGTATGAAAATCATAAGATTCATAAGTAAAGCTTTAATATTTGTTATAATTTAAAAACAAAAGAGTTATAAGTAAGATATATAAATCTAAAAATTATTAAAATAAATTATTAAGATCGGTACAATTATTAAGATAAATTATTAAGATCGGTAAAAAAAAAAGTTCCTCCTATGAAATAAAAAGCTTTTATTATTTTGGTTTTTACAAAAATTTGTTGTAAAAATTGTTTTGCTATATGTTAAAAAATTACTACATCGTACTTTTTGAATTAAAGTAGAAAAACACAGCTTTGTTTAATTACATTTTTCTTTTGTTAAAAATCTGCTGTGATGTCAAAGGTTAAAACTTTTATGAATTAAACGCGCTTCAAAGGAGTTGCCAAAGAGACTCAGAGTTATTGAAAAAAATGGAGAAAGCAAGCTTCGGCTAAAACAACAACATTAATTTTTCTTGGTATGCATTCATTATTTATTTTTAATCAAAAAAACTTGGTTCAAACCTTTTTTTTTAACATTATCTTTAATATGAACACAACATGTGGTGGGAATCCCTTTAAATAACTTTTCTAGGCTTTTACTTATGATAAAATACAACATGTCCTGTCATTTAGTAATTTTCTTATATATACATTACACAACCTCATTATTAAATGTTGTATATCAGTATTGTGTGTACTGTATATTGCTGTAATCCTGTTTTTTTATATCTATTATCTATGACTTATATCTTTATAGTTGAATATTAATACAATTGTTTATTTCATAAGTTTTAGCTTATAAATGAAAAATGTTTAGATGTAAAAGATACTTGGGTTTATGAAAAAATTTACGATAGTAAAAATATTGTTAAAAAAGAAGGATTCAAAAATCCATTTGAAACTCAAGAACGAGAAACAGAACTTGATCCTAAGCGACTTCGGCTAGAGCATGAACTAGGTATTTAATTTTGATTTGTATTTTTACTTTTTATAATTTTATGAAATATTTGCCCAGGTAATATATAGTAAAATAGCAATATATGCACATACTAAAAATAAAATGTCACCATATTTGAAAAGTATTTAACAAAAATTATGTTGTTATAAATTACTACATGAGAGCACACAAACAAAAACATTAGGCAATCCTTGTTGTGGAATAAATTTTTTGTTAATTTAAATGCAAAAATTGACAGTAAGGACATGTATAAGTCTTAAACTCATTCTCAATTCAAAATGGTGTGTTCTGTCAAGTTGTTGGTTATAAAAAAAGCAGAAATCTGTTTGTACTTAGATTTAGCTGTCTTGTTTTTTATATGCACTTTAGTGATGTATGTTGTAGTATATATTACACTATATTATTTGCTTAGTTTCTTTTTTTTACTATATTATTTTTTGTGCATCTCATATCTGTTCCATCACATCCACATTTTGCACTGTCATTATCAGCATCATATTACGTTATTACAGTTTATGAACTATACTGTATATGTTTTTTTTTTAATTTTTTGGTAATAGTATTTCAAAATAGTTAATCAAATTAGTATGATTTCTTGTTCCTATTGTGTTTAATATCTGATAAAAAAATAAGTCTTTTTTCTTACAAGGTGAATATAATATTGGTCTGATAAAATTAAATAATGACATTGTGACGTCTGATTTTGTAAACTTATTTTATTTTATAATATTTGCCCATTTAGGACTTTATCGAATAGAATTACTGATAACTCTGCTACAATCATTGATAATATTTTCTTTAATTTAATAACTAATAAAGTTATTTCAAGAAATTTGACAACATATATTTCTGACCACTTACCTCAATGTTGTATTTGTCCTAGTTCCAATAAATTATTTATTCCACACAGACTAAATTTATTACTTGAACAACATTATTTTAGGTCACTATGCCACACAAAAAAACAAGTATTAAAAACTTCAAACATAAATTAAAACCATGTATTACTAATGGAATTATAAAATCTATTCAAGTGCGCAATCTTTTTCATCAAAAAAGGTTAAGATCTTAAGATCTTAATAATATAAACAAGTATTTTTAAGAGATATTAATTAAACTATGTAAAAAAATCTATTAAAAGTTTTTTTTTCAGAAAATGTAAAAAATCTTAGCAAACTTTGGAAAGGCATTAATAATCTAATAAATGTCAAAGTTTTGAAAACCCTAACTGTTTGTGAGAAAATGAAACTTATATAACTGACCTGATTCTAATCTCTGAATCATTTAACCCTTTTTAACAAATGTTGCTCACTCAAATCCAATATTAATTTGTCTTATGTTAACTATCAAAAGTATTTTAAATATACATTTTACATTTTTTTTATTTATATATGTTTGCTATGTTTATTATTATTTCCAACAAATATTTCTGAAATTTTGTCTCATATCTAAATTAAATCCAAGAGAATGATTAGGTCCAAACAGCACTCCCACAAACATTCTTATAGATTTATCTATGAATTTTCAAATATTCTTTCTAAACTATTTAATACCTCTTAATTCATAAATGGAACATTTCCTGATATTTTAAAATATCTTGCGTTATTCCATTATTTAAAAATGGCTCTAAACTTTCATGCAATAACTATAGGCTTATTTCTCTTTTATCTAACATTAGTATGCTTCTTGTGTATTTAACATTAGTATGCTTCTTGTGTATTAAACTTATGTATTCTAGAGTGTACTCTTTTCTAAACTCATTTAATGGTTTAAATGATTTGGTTTTTGATTAAGACATTCTACTTGCCATGCATTAATAAGTATAGCAGAATAAATTAGAATAGCTCTACTGGTCATTTCGTTTGTGGTGTTTTTATTGATTTGCAAAAGCTTTCGATACCGTTGACCATAGTATTTTGATTTCTAAATTTGAACATTATGACATTCACGGTATTGTAAATGATTGGTTTCTATCTTATCTTTCAGATTGAAAACAATTTGTAAGTATTAATGGTTTTAATTCTAGTAATAAATCAGTTTTGTGTGGTGTTCCTTAAGATTCTCTTCTTGGTCCTCCTTTGTTTTTAATCTATGTTAATGACCTAACCAACTCTGTTCAATTCTCATTAGTTGATCTGTTTATTATTCAAATCTCTTGCACATCAACAAATTGTATTATTCTTTATGTAAAATTGTATATTCTGATCTAAAAGGTATGGTTCACTGGTTAAATGCTAACCTAATATGTCTTAATGTTAACCTAATATAATATGGCTTTGAAAAAACTGAACTAAATTTTTTTTCATCTCCGAGAAAAAAAATTTTTCTTATTAAAGTATTCAAATTAAAAACAAAATTATTTATGAATGGCTATATCCTTTGAGAGTTATTAAATATATTCATAAGCAAGAGGTTCTGAGTTCGATCCCCACCACGTCCCTGGTAGTACTGCGCTCAACTTGTTTCTCCGCTTAGCGGCCTTGTTGGTCAAGGTTCGTGTTTTGGAGTTATAGAGTTGAGAAAGAGTTATAACCACAATTAAGTAGCCTCCTCGTTAGTAGTGGCCTTCTTGGCCTTGGGGAGGTGAATAAATATTAAAAAATATATATATCTTGGTGTGTTAATTGGTTGCAATCTTCATGGAACTTACACATTGATGAACTAAGCAAAAAACTTGAGCTAATGGTGTGCTATTAATAATTTGTTGTTATGTCGATAAAGTTACGCTTAAGAATATTTACATGCATTATTCTCATCTCATCTTTATTGTTATCAAGTTTAAGGTCAAGATGAAAGCTATCGCATTAACAAGTTGCTATTGTCTCAGTGTTAATCCATTAGATTAATAAACCTCAAACCAATTAAATCATATACATTCAAAAATCTTAAAGTTCTAACAATTCCAGCGCAAGTAAAGTTTGCTAATCTTCTTTTTGTTTTGAATTTAACAAAAAATTTACCATCTTTTTTTACAAACTTATTCACAGAAAGAAGAATCAAAAAAAAGAGTTTCAATGTCAATGTATCTGTTTAGTGTCCATGAGTTTCAATGTTTGTTTTTGCTTATTTTTACTTATATATATATATATATATATATATATATATATATATATATATATATATATATATATATATATATATATATATACATATATATATATATATATATACATATATATATATATATATATATATATATATATATATATATATATATATATATATATATATTAATAGTATATATATATTTCATTAGTATATAAATGCGTCACTGGGAGTGAAAAATGGCTCGAGGAGTAAAAAACCTCTGGAAAATGGAGTTGGCATTGTTATTTGTTGTTATTAATTTTTTCGTTTTAAATATGTCAGGATAAATTCGTTTATATATTTATTTAGATGACAATTATCGGTTATAAATTTTTTTTTTTTTTTTTTGATTCTTGAAGTTCTTATAATTATAATTCTATAGGTCATGGAAATTTTGGTTCTGTTGTAAAAGGAGTTTACTTGTTAAAAAACAACAAATCTGTAGCTGTTGCTGTAAAAACTCTTAAAGAAGAAGACATTCCTGGGCAAAAGGTATGCATTAGGTATAGTTTAACGAGTTTTAAATTTATTCTATAGGAGATTTAAGTTTACATATGTCACTAGTGACATTCTTTACCTTAAATAAAAGATATGTTAAATTTTAGGGTTTTTTTAATAATTTCAAATAATAATTTAAAGTCTGATAAAAAGGTTTTTTCTAAAAAAGTTTGATAAAAAAGTTTTTTCAATTTTAATGTAACTTCTTTGCTAATTAGTTAAATTTTATCTAAATTAATTATTGCTAACAAGTTATGTTGTTAAAGCTTTTTCTTTTATTGTTTTTACTGTTTGGTTGATGATTAATCTTAATTTGTTGCTCCAATACTGACATTTTTCTCTTCATTTGTTGTTTTTGCTAATGAGTTATGTTCTTCAGTTTCTTGTAAGTTAATTAAAGCATTAATAAACACATCCTCATATCATACAGTATCCTCATTTGTAGTTGATTTCTGTTCTTTGTAGAATAAAATATTTTCTTTGATGGCTCCAGGAGGCTCATAACAGTGTATTTAGACTCACTGTTTCATAAGTTTTTGTTGAGCATAAACAGCAGGTTCCAATTTTTATTTAAAATTAAAGTATTTCTTTAGTTTTTATTTCTCTAGGCTTTAGAAAAATTTAATTCACATTCAGTTCTCATTCCTATTTTCTTTCACATCACTTTCACTATTTTAGAAATACAAAAAAATTTTGTGAAGTCAAATTTTTAGTATCTATTTAATGAAAGATGTTTTTCCTAAAAGCCATCCTTGATCCATTGATACAAGGATATGTCTTTTTATTTTGTATCAGGAAAATAGCTTCTTGCTATTGTAGCAGATCCTCCCATGACAACATCAATGATATACGAGTCTGAGTATGCAAAGTTATTTGTATACGTATAAGCATATTTTATATATATATATATATATATATATTTATAAATATATATATATATATATTTATATTTATATATATACATATATATATGTACTTATAAATATATGTTATATATATATATATATATATATATATATATATATATATATATATATATATATATATATATATATATATATTAACATAGGACTATATAAATTCAGTATTTTATTTAAACTTTATTTTCTGACCTTTTTTTTTTTTTCATACAAAATAAAACTGAAGTTGAACATAATACATCATTTTTTTGAGTTGGTTTTTTTTTAAGACGCCAAAACATATTTTTTTGAATTATATAGCTTGGTTTTTATCTTTTATAATAAAATTTTGCAATTTGTTATTAATTTAAATTTATAGTTTAGTAGTTATTTTTTTGTCTAATGGTTTTTATAAATTTCAAACAAATATTTTAGTTTTTAAAACCTTTTTTAAATTTATTTCATAAAAATTTTAACATAATAGTTATTTTAAAGCTTATAGAAACCAATACTTTTTATTACACTATTAAATTTGAGTAGTTAATTAACATTTGATTCGCGCTAAAAGTGTTCACTATTAAAAAAGTTTATAAAATCCAAGAAAATGATCGAAAAGATTCATAAAAAAAATACATATTTATATAAATGTAATTATTGCGTAATATACTTTGATAATTTAAATAAAATGTGTTTATTGTAAACATTATAATTAGTTTGTTACTTTATTTAATAAAGTAAAAAGTAAACTTTATAATTTATTTATTTAATTTATTTACATAGTAATTGATTTATTTAATAATTTTGTATGTTCATTATACATATTTATTACATATTTAGTTATGTATTTTATTACATAGTTTGTGTATTTACAGGCTTTCACAGGAAAGCGTGCGATTACACGTTAAAAATAATATGTTTTAATGATTTAACCACAGCTTTTGACATATTTTTAAAATTTAAAAATGCGCTACAAAAACTTATCTAAAAAAAAAAAAATTTTAAAAAGAAAAAAAATCTTAACCAAAGAGAAAATAAAAATAATACTTATCTAAAGCAAAAACACAAAAATATAAATATATATATATATATATAACCCAACTAAAACAAAACTCATCAAACTAAAATGCTTAGCCTATTTAATTTACGCATTAAAAAACATTTCAATCTTTGTTTTAACATTTTTATTTTTTTACTTAATATGTTTCAAAAGATTTCTCATAAAAAATACTTAATTATAAAAATAAAAAAAAAACAGTTTATTAATACTTAATTTAAAACATTAATTAGAAGTGTTTTGTTACTTTAATTGAAAAGCGTTTCGATAATATAATAGCATTTAAGATCAAACTTATTTAATTTAAATGGCTTTCCATATCATTTTTTTTTCAACGAAATTTTTTTTATATTTTTAAATATATTAACTTTAATTATTTTTAAAAATTCGTTAAAGAAGCTATAGTATTCGTAGAATGTCATCGTTTATAAAAACAAAACAATTTTTTATTTTTTAATAATGTTTATTATAGAAATGGGCATTTAAACAATTTATATATTATAAATAAATAAAAATTTATATACAACTGTCAATTATATTTTGAAAAAAAAACATTATCAGTAAATTGTTATTATTAGAATTTATATTAGTGTTTCGCTAATATAAAAACATTTTTTAAGAAGTTTTGATGTAATTAATTTCACTTTTTCAGAATATTTTTTATTTAGCACATTTTTAAAATGTTTTTTGAATTAGCCGCGGTCAAATCGTCATAGCAAAATGTAATTTGCCTGGTCATATAAAGACGTGCGATTGCACGTTTTTATATGACCATATATGATTGCATAACATAGTAATTTAAAAAAAAAATGTAATATAAATGTATTTAAGATTTGATATCAATAAAAGGATTTATAGTCTTCGCTATTTTCAATGCGTTTTCCTCGTGGTGCTGTAGAAACAACTCAGCTTAAACAACCATAAAAGATAATCCAATAGGGCCTGAGTTCTCTAATTCATGTATCTCGTTGTTCCACATAAAGTATCTATGAAATAAGCAAAGTTCTATTAGTTGTTTAGTTTCTACTATTTCAAGTTTGGTTGAGTCTAAAAGAATAACAGTTGCTTCTTTTAATAGTATTGATAGATATAAATTTACAATATCAAAAGATACTTGTAACTCGTCCTTATCGATAATCCAATCCTTAGTTTTTTTGATGAAATCATGGTTGTATTTTTTTAACCAAGTACTTTGAAATTTCATAGCTAGGTGTGCCGATTGTTGATACTATCACTGCTCTCCAATTTATGGTGGAATAAATTTAGATAATAGACAATACGACAATACGCCGGTCACCTCTGATAAACTTACATAAATTTTTCAAATTGGTATAGAATTCTGTGTAACATAAGTTAAGTGCCATTTTCGGTAATAAGTTTGCCCTCTTTTGGCAAGACTCAAAACTTTTTAGCTTATTTTATTCTTCAGACTAACAGCTTTAACACAAAACAGCAAAAAATATAATTTATAGTTTAAATAGGCAAATATTGGATAAAGTTGTTGCATGTGTAATGAAAGTTATAAATGGAATTGCCCATATATATATGAGGTGTGTATATATATATATATATATATATATATATATATATATATATATATATATATATATATATATATATATATATATATATATATATATATATATATATATATATATATACCTCTGATTTTTTTCCGGCTACTGAAATATTATTTATGTCTTACTTCAGTCATCCATTAGTTTGGCATTTTTGGGTATTTTTGCTTGAGTGAAAAAGCAGAAGAATACAAAACTGCTGACTACTAAAATAATATTATTAAGAACTGTTTAATAAAAAATAAATTATTATTTAAAAAAGTGAAATAAAAAATAAATTATTTAAAAAAGTGAAATAGAGAATTAGTAAATAGCAAAAGTTGTAAAATCACAACAAAAATTAAGTCTCTTGCTTAAGCAAAAGATTATTTAGTTGAATTTACTTTTATTTTAATAAATAAATTTTTTTAAATGAGTTTAAAATAGATTTTTATTATGCTATTTGGATCACAATTGTTATCAAAACAAAAAAAAAGTAATGATGCGTGTCAAACAATTGAATTTGCTTGTCATAAAATCTTTAATTTCTTTACAAAAAAAGTCATTGGTTTTAAGGATAAATTCATTTTTAAATGCAACAAAATGAACATTTTAGCAAATAGTTTTAAAAAACTAGCAAAAGGTTTCAACCTCAAACCAACAATTTAACTTTATTGTAGAATAAAATTTTTTTTTTTTTAGATTTAGTTTATTATTTATTTTCAACAAAATAAACCAATTGTTGTACTCTAATAATTTAATTTTATTATAATGATATAATATATTATATAAACCATTATTATTAATACAAATGAAATTTTACTAAATAATTTAAAGATTTTTTTTAATAGTGTTCTTTAAAATCCTCTACCGGTTATAAATTGTAGTGTTCTTCAAAATTTTATTTAAGCTTATGTATTTTGTAATTACATAAGTTTAAAAAGAAATACTACTTAGACATCAATAACCATTATTATTAGTAATTACTGAAAAATCCCATTTATATCCCATGTTATATAACCAAATACCTAGAGAGTATCCTTAAGCTTGTCTTGATTGTGTGTTCAACGAAGTCTTGAATTAATTTTGAATTAACTACAACTGCTAGTGTTATTTACACACATTAAAAAGTGAGTAAATAACTGGGAAACTTCCTCATCTTCACATGTTTTTATGTCTTTTTCATTCCAGACCAGAATTTCTTTCTTGAATATCTCTATTAGCAAGAACAAAAGGTAGGGCTGCTCATTGACAAAGTCTTCCAATTCTAATAAAAGTAATTCTAAATCTGAGTTTCAGGCTTCTTTTAACCAGATTTTTCATATCATAAGAAACCAGCTTGTTTAAATGTTAGTCTTAACTTCGGTTTTCTGTTCCATATCAGCAAAAGCAAAAATTATTTGTTGCAGGGACAGATACCAAGTATGTCGCCTGGGGCTCTGGTAAAGAACACTTTCTACTGCTGCAAATTCTTTAAACTTTTTTGCAGTTTGTAAATTTATGTTCTGAAAACCAATATTGAATGGCGTTGAATCATTTTCTTCTTTATGAAAAGCTCTTATGCTTTTCAATTACAGGGTGCTAGAGAAACATTAGGGATTTTCAGAAAGAAGAATTCATGAAAAAATACAATGCAGTTGATCACAACCTATACATGGTTTAATGTGTTGTTTCTAAATGTCCAGAATTAGCAGGGTGGTACATTT